CCTGCTGGATTAGACCACTGGTCCTTCTAGGCCGGCATCTTGTCTCACAGAGTGGCCAGCCAGGCCCTCTGGAGATCCAACAACAGGGTATAGAGGCTGAGGCCTTCCCCTAATTCTGCCTTCCGGCTCTGGGAGTCAGAGGTTTAGTGCCTCTGGATGCAGAAGTTCCCCTCAGTCTCCACGACTAGTGGCCTAGACCTATCCTCCATGTATCTATCTAATCCCCTTTTAAAGCTGCCTGTGTCTATGGCCATCATGACATCCTCTGGCAGTGAATTCCACATTTTAATCTAGTTCTATCGATATGGGCCAGATTCTATAAACGGCAAGCCATTGCTCACTGAAGATGATGGCTGTGTGCACATCAGCCCCCCCCTCCCATCTGTGTTAATCGGGCCTAGAGGCCTAACAGTCTTTGCGTGTGTGGCACGAACCGCAACTGCTGTGTGTGTTATCCTACAACAATTCTAGCTGTAGACTATAATACAAAGAAGCATACATTCTGTTGGGGGCTTCCTCGCTACGGATCACTCACAAGGCGTTTTGTCTCCCTGACTGGCAGATGGAACGCCAGCCAGTGTACGAGGCTTTGGATTTCAGCCCTTATGTATTGCAAGGATTTGTTTTTAGATGTGTGGGTGCATTGGCATAAGGGCACAGAGCAATCGTTGTGGTCTCCTAGTTCTAACTGCGTGGTGAATGCCATGGGGATACGGCTCTGAGGTGGTCGGTCTTTTCCACAGCAGTGGCCATGGTTGCCCTTTCCCATGTGGAGGAGGCTGAATCAGCCCAATTCCCATTCACCACCCTGTTGACTGCAGTGTCACGAAGACCGGGTTTTTTTGTTTGACGGGGAGTTCTGACGGGTCCGTTCAAGGGTTCTTCCTCCTCCTCTCTAGGGTCTGAACACCAGATACTTTACATTGCTGACGATAACAAGATCCGCAGCATGTATCCCTTCAACCCCAACTCTGCCTACGAGCCCGCCTTCCAAGGGGACGAAAACGTCCGCATCGCTGCCATGGATGTCTACGTCAAGGGCAACAAGATCTACTGGACCAACTGGCACACGGGGCGCATCTCCTGCCGCGAACTGCCGTCCTCTGCTGGCTCCAGCCCCTCCAATCGCAACCGACGGCAGATAGATGGCGGCGTCACCCACCTGAACGTAAGTGACCGGAAGTACCTCAACAGACTTGGTTGAGTAGCCACGGGGGGGGATGGGGGGGGGATAAAGGCCAGACCCAGAAATACAGTTGGGAAGAGGGTTTGGCAGAATCCTTGGTGTTCATTTCACTTCCTGTCACCCCCCCTCCACACACACACAGATATCCGGCCTGAAGATGCCACGGGGCATTGCCATCGACTGGGTGGCTGGGAACATCTACTGGACAGACTCGGGGCGCGACGTCATCGAAGTGGCACAGATGAAGGGCGAGAACCGGAAAACGCTGATCTCGGGCATGATTGATGAGCCCCACGCCATTGTGGTGGACCCGCTTCGAGGGTACGACTGGGTCCTCGCGTACCATCCCTCCAAACAGCTCTGCCCCTCAGACGTCCAGGGTGGCCTCACAAAACTCCTTTCTCCTTTACAGCACGATGTACTGGTCAGACTGGGGGAACCACCCCAAGATTGAGACAGCGTCAATGGACGGGACCCTGAGGGAGACGCTCGTGCAGGACAATATCCAGTGGCCAACAGGTAAGTAAGGACCCACGCGTGTGGGTTTTTGGTTTCAACTGCTTCATGCTGAACAGCCAAACCGGTTACTGTAAGCCACATCCAGGACGATCTCTGTCCTGTCCCAAGGCAACAAGAGATTTTTATGCAGATGTTGCATGCTTTTGAATTTATGAAGTTTCTTTCCTCTGGATCTGCTTATCTCAGTATTTATCAGCAGATCTCTGGGATATCTGACACAGACAGGTAATTCTCAGCCAATTCTTTCCCTGAAAATGCCAAAGAGTGAGCCTGGGACCTGCAAAATCAGTGTCTTGTAATCCGGGAGTTGCATGCTTCTGAATTTATGAAGTTTTTTTCCTCTGGATCTGCTTTCCTCAGTATTTGGCAGCAGATCTCTGGGATATCTGACACAGACAGGTAATTCTCAGCCAATTCTTTCCCTGAAAATGCCAAGGAGTGAGCCTGGGACCTGCAAAATCAGTGTCTTGTAATCCGGGATCATTTCGTAGAAAAAGAGGTGCAGGGGCTCATTAGCATAACCTATTTGCATATGCCACACCCCCTGACATCACCGGACATGTGTCAGAAGGCAACACCCACCGCTCAGGCTCCACTGGACTGTTTTGGATTGCTAGCTATTGGGGGGTGGGGGACGTGCAGATCTGTCCTTACAGAGGAGGGAGAGCTTGTACCTGAATAAAACTTGGTCTTAAAGGTGCCATCGACTGGGTGGCTGGGAACATCTACTGGACAGACTCGGGGCGCGACGTCATCGAAGTGGCACAGATGAAGGGCGAGAACCGGAAAACGCTGATCTCGGGCATGATTGATGAGCCCCACGCCATTGTGGTGGACCCGCTTCGAGGGTACGACTGGGTCCTCGCGTACCATCCCTCCAAACAGCTCTGCCCCTCAGACGTCCAGGGTGGCCTCACAAAACTCCTTTCTCCTTTACAGCACGATGTACTGGTCAGACTGGGGGAACCACCCCAAGATTGAGACAGCGTCAATGGACGGGACCCTGAGGGAGACGCTCGTGCAGGACAATATCCAGTGGCCAACAGGTAAGTAAGGACCCACGCGTGTGGGTTTTTGGTTTCAACTGCTTCATGCTGAACAGCCAAACCGGTTACTGTAAGCCACATCCAGGACGACCTCTGTCCTGTCCCAAGGCAACAAGAGATTTTTATGCAGATGTTGCATGCTTCTGAATTTATGAAGTTTTTTTCCTCTGGATCTGCTTTCCTCAGTATTTGGCAGCAGATCTCTGGGATATCTGACACAGACAGGTAATTCTCAGCCAATTCTTTCCCTGAAAATGCCAAAGAGTGAGCCTGGGACCTGCAAAATCAGTGTCTTGTAATCCGGGGTCATTTCGTAGAAAAAGAGGTGCAGGAGCTCATTAGCATAACCTATTTGCATATGCCACACCCCCTGACATCACCGGACGTGTGTCAGAAGGCAACACCCACCGCTCAGGCTCCACTGGACTGTTTTGGATTGCTAGCTATTGGGGGGTGGGGGACGTGCAGATCTGTCCTTGCAGAGGAGGGAGAGCTTGTACCTGAATAAAACTTGGTCTTAAAGGTGCCACTGGACTGTTTTGGACTGGGGGGGGGGAGCTCTGCAACTTACCTGGCTGCTTCTTGCTCTGACTGAGGGCTGCTGGGAGCAGGGGGTGGGGCTTGTTGCATGTGCCCACCCCCTGGGCTCTTTACTGCCAGAGCTCTGCTCCTGTGCGCTCCTGCAGGAAATGACCCCTGCTTGTAATAGATGAGGTCAATCGAAGAAACCTGGGAGGTGGTGGATTGAATCTGCACTCTGCCATGAATGCTTATGTTAGTGTAGATGCGTTCAAAGCCAGTATGCGGGAGGTAGTACGTGATATTTTTAGAGCATGGGCACTGTTAGCAGTTGAGACCCATGCATTGGGGACTCTGCTTTTCTTGCAGGTCTGGCTGTTGATTACTACAATGAGCGCCTGTACTGGGCAGACGCCAAGCTCTCCGTGATTGGCAGCATCCGGCTCAACGGCACCGACCCAGTGGTAGCTATCGACAGCAAGAAAGGTAAAGAGGTCTTTGGGTTTGGGGGAAGGGATAATCTGTTTGTGCTCAGCTCTTAAAGGGTTCTCCCTTCCTGCCCAAGGTCCATTTTTTGCTGTTGATAAATCAACAACTCGTACCAAATTGTTCAGTATTCTTAAGAATAGGGGTATAAAAAAATGATCCTTCCATGTGTTGGCACTTCTTCCTAGAGTAGTATCATTTTCTTTGCTCCCATTGCAGTACTGGTTATACCCGGGAGGAAGCTGCTACCTGCATTCGGAAGGCTGAGAACCTTACCATGCACATGATCCCCAGGAAAAACTGACCTTGATCAAACTTCTTCAGTTACATGGCAGGCAAGCCCCTGATTGGATTCCCTTGATGGTTTTTGTCAAAATTCACCTTGAGTGCTATGCCAATCAGCTTAGTGTCTGCACAGTAACTGACTGAGTTATGGGCCAGGTTGCACCTTGCTTCAATAGCAAGTAACATATACAGACTTGACCAAATCTTCTCAGCTGTTGGAAGAAAGTCTCACGTCCCTCCAGGATTATAATTTGTTCATGAAAACGACCAGCTTGTCAACCACAGAATCGCGTTACAGTTTATTGCCTCTTTGTGTTTGCATTTTTGGAAGCACCCTTTAAAGGACCAACAGTGGATACACTGTTTGTCTGCTTTTTGCACCTAAACATACTGTTCGGGAAGTGATTGCAAGAACTGCTTGCAAGATTAGCTAGGTTCATGGGCAGACCTCAAAGGCACACAATGACTTCTAAGTAGCAAGTCTCAACTCAAAAATCCCCCCTGCAATTATGTGCTGTTTAACAATTGGAGGCAGCAGCGGTCGGTGGGAAGGCAGGAGCAGCAGGAGCAACCTAATCATGCACAAGGACACAGCTGGATTTGTTTAGACGCAACTGAACAGCTCAGCAAACTGTCAGCTTCCTGATCACAACCAGTGATCTGGTCCGGATGTAGTCAAATGTCCCATTCTTCCTGAATATCTGGATCTCTCCATAATTTCAGGGAATGGACCATCACCTTTTCCCTTGTTTTTCCCCAGGGGTGAAATAGAGCAGATCTGGCTAAATTCAAGCTCCTTCTAGTTTCCCAAGCAATGTGAACATTAGCAGTGCTCACTGTGGCCAGTTGCTAACTCCAGTTCCATCCTCTTTTCCCTCCCCCAGGGCTAAGCCATCCGTTCAGCATCGACATTTTTGAGGATTACATCTATGGTGTCACCTACATCAACAACCGCATCTTTAAGATCCACAAGTTTGGCCACGGGACCGTCACCAATCTGACAGCAGGGCTCAACCACGCCACGGACGTGGTACTCTACCACCAGTACAAGCAGCCAGATGGTGAGTAACGCATCTTAGGATAACCAAGCCTTGATAACAAAAGGGGAGCCAGAAGTCCTGTTGATTCCATGCAGAAGCAGTGGAGACAGGTGTACTTATGGACCTGAACGTTCCAACAGAACAAACGGCATGCTGTGCTTTCTGGACCTAGACCAATAAGAGCTAATAAGTTGCTTAGAGACCAGGATTCATTTAAGGAAGGATGCTGACAAACTGGAAAGGAAACAGAGGTGGCAGAAGGATCTAGACCAGAGGTGTCAAACTCATTTGTTATGAGGGCTGGATCTGACATAAATTTCACTTTGTCGGGCCAGGTCATGAGCAGTGTTCCCTCTAAGCTGAGTTGGTGTGAGCTAGCTCACAGTTTTTTAGCCTCCAGCTTACACATTTTTTGACTTGGCTCAGGACGGTTGACTCCAGAGCAAACTAATTTATGCAGTAGCCAAATCGCTTGCTCACAGCTTTAATGCCAGTAGCTCACAAAGTAGAATTTTTGCTCACAAGACTCCACAGCTTAGAGGGAGCATTGGTCATGAGCGCCATAAAACATAATGCCAGGACTTCCGGTCAGCATGGCGCGGCGACGGGCAGTCCGCAGCTGCAGCTGAGGACGCCCGATTCCTTCCCGCTTCGTCTGGGGGCTCCCGGTTTGTGGGAGCGACCAGCCAGCTCTCCTGGAGAGAGAGCTGGAGTAGGGGGCTCGGATGCTCCCATGATGCTTGACTGCTGCAGCAAGGTTGTTCTGCTGTGCTGAAGACACAATGGGGTGGCTCCACCCACTCCCGCCCAGCACTTCCTCCCATGCATCAGTTGCTCGCGGGCCGCACAAGAGCCCTGGATGGGCCAGATCCGGCCCCCGGGCCTTATGTTTGACACCCCTGATCTAGACCACCTGTCACGAAATGAAGAGCTTCCAAAAAAAAGAAGACAAAGGCAGTTTTCAGATCGCACTCATCGCATTGACTGACAAGAGATAGGAACAAGAGGCCGTGCTGAAGTTAGATTCAGGAGAAGAGCTGGTTATAAGCAGTGTCTTGACCAAGACCCATTCTTGTACTGTAGAATAAGCGGCTTGTGTGGGACTTACCCTTAGTGGCAGTGGGGGAGCCACACGCCACTTTGTAGGGCATACTGGGAAGGGTCCACATCTCCCTCTGCTGCTTAATTGGATCGGCGCCTCAGTCTGTGTCATTCAAGACCCACTCTGAGAGAGAGTTCCTGTCTTTGCCACTGTGCAGCACCAAGAACCGGCAGGTCAAAAAAAGAAAATGAAAACTTCTCGTCCCTCTTAGTTAAGGAGATAGTGGAAGGGAAAACAGAATGAAGGTGCTGCTAAATGCAGAGCTGTAGAGCAGGGGCACCAGGAATGCTCGTCTCTGCTGAACAAGGCAGTGATGGCCACAAGTATAGACAGCTTTGGCAGGGGAATAGACGGATTCGTGGAGGACGGGTCTGTCAGTGGCTGCTAGCCACAAGTAACTGGCCGGCCACTCCAGAGGAGCTCGTTGGCACAGGTGCTGGACTAGATGGACTACTGGTCTGATCTGGCAGCACTGTTCTTATGTTCTTAAGGCAGTACCTGAACCTGGTAGGTCCTTCCACCGGAGCTTCTCCTTCGACCGGCAAAGGCTGTACATACAGAGCAAGTGGGAGGAGCGACCCAGGCAGGGTATCCCCTTCCCTCAGTAGAGAAGGAACTGCCTAGGCAGTGGAACATCCAGAAAAGAATGTAGAATCTCCCTGTCTGGAACGTTTCAAGCATCCAGTCATATGGCAAAGGTTTGGGCTACATAAGCCATTGGGTTCCTTCCATCAGCGTGCCTATCTAGGTATGGTTTTGTTCTCCGTTTCATGATTTTTAGTGGTGGAAAGTGCCTTATGGCAATCCTGTCAGGTTTTCAAAGCGAGAGATGTTCAGAGGGGGTTTGACATTGCCTGCCTCTGCATAACGACCCTGGACTTCCTTGGTGGTCTCCCATCCAAATACTAACCAGGGCTGACCCTGCTTAGCTTCCGAGATCTGATGAGGTCAGGCTCGCCTGGGCCATCCAGGTCAGAGCTGATGATTTTTACCTGACCTGAGTGTTCACCATCCAAGTGGAGAAGTCAGTTCAGGCATGACATTGGGTAGGCTTGAAATCCTTTCTAGGAACTGTGGATTCTTTGTAAGCCATTAAACTTTCTCTGCTGTTAAAGGGGACATAATAGCTAGCTAGGAAAGAACATGAGGTCAGAGGAGACTGTTGGCCAGGGAACTGCAGGTTGGAGAGCAAAGGGGGAACACAAACAAAGATGGGAACAGTCCAGAGCCCCAGAAATGCAAGCCAGACATCCTTGTGTCCCCTGGCTTCCTTTGGGGGCCACAGCTCTGTAGGTACAGTAGGAGCCGAATGCTCCTAGGCTTTGCTTCTGTCCTCACTCCTCGGTTTCCTTTCCTTTCCAGTGGCCAACCCATGTGACCGGAAGAAGTGTGAATGGCTCTGTCTCCTGAGTCCCAGTGGCCCTGTGTGTACCTGTCCCAACGGCAGGCGGCTGGACAACGGCACGTGTGTGCTTATCCCCACACCGACTCTTTCACCTGTTGGTATGTGCATCCCCGTTCCCACCTACACAGAAAATCCTTACACCTCCTCCCAAGAGCAAGGAGGCTCAAACTGAAGCAGATTTCTGTGGGCAACACAACCCACAGAGTAGGGATCCCTAGTTGCAAAGTCCTGCAGTGCATGTAAATGCACACATGCACATCCACCGGCATATAATTTTGTGCAGGGTCTTTCCTGCAGATCTGAGGCCATGGAAGGCTCATATTTGCAGAATTTACCATGGCCAGTTGCATTATGGTACGATAGCATTTATTGTACATAGCCAAAGGCCATTATAATTGATCACAAGATGATAAAACATATCATCAGACAAAGAGAAGAAGGTATTGGATTTATACCCTGCCCTTCACTACCTGAAGGAGTCTCTGAGCGGCTTACCATCTCCTTTCCCTTCCCCTCCCCACAACAGACACCCTGTGAGCAATGCTCCCTCTAAGCTGTGGAGTCTTGTGAGCAAAAATTCTACTTTGTGAGCTACTAGCATTAAAGTTGTGAGCAAGCAAATTTGGCCTTTGCCTAAATTAGTTTGCTCCGGAGCCATCCTTCCTGAGCTCAGACAAAAATGTGTGAGTCGGAAGCTAAAAAACTGTGAGCTAGCTCACACTAACTCAGCTTAGAGGGAACACTGCCTGTGAGCAGTGCTCCCTTTAAGCTGTGGAATCTTAAAGATTCTACTTTGTGAGCTACTGGCATTAAAGTTGCGAGCGAGCAGTTTGGCTACTGCTTACATTAGTTTGCTCTGGAGCTATCCTTCCTGAGCTAAGACAAAAATGTGTGAGCTGGAGTTTAAAAAACTGTGAGCTAGCTCACACTAACTCAGCTTAGAGGGAACACTGCCTGTGAGGTAGGTGGGGCTGAGAGAGCTCTCATAAGAACTGCCCTTGAGAGAACAGCTCTGAAAGAACTTGTAACTGACCCAAGGTCACACCAGCAGCTGCATGTGGAGGAGTGGGGAATCAAACCCAGTTCTCCCAGATTAGAGTCCACGCTCCTAATGACTACACCAAACTAGAAGCTGCCATGAACCCTATCACAGACACTTGCTTAAATCCAGTGATTTAGATCTAGCCTTTGCTTAGAGATGGGCTTACATTACCCAGAAGTAACTGCAGCATTCACTTTGTGCAAGAGGTTGACTAAAGGGAACCTCCATGTGCAGAGGCCGTAAACCTCTGAATCCCAGTGCCAGGAAGCAATATCAGGGGAAGGCCTTGGCTTCTCTGCCCTGCTTTTGGAGCGCCAGAGGAACTGGTTGGCCACTGTGTGAGACAGGATGCTGGACTACATGACTACTGATCTGATCCAGCAGGACTGTTCTTATGTTCCTATGAATACCTCTGCCTCTGTGTCTTATTGTTGGCCCTCCAAGAGGAACTGGTTGGCCACTGTGTGAGACAGGGTGCTGGACCAGATGGACCCTCACTGGTCTGATCCAGCTGGGCTCTTCTTACATTGTCATAGCAGGTAAAACTTTAGATCTTAGATTTATTTATTTAGAGCATCTTTATGCTGTCTTTCTGCTTTGGACTGAGGCACCCACGGTGGTTAAGCTGTAAAGTACAGTCGTAAAAACATTTAAAGGCATATAAAAATCAAGATAACAGAAATGCAGCAATTAAAACATTTATTTATGTAATTCAAAGGCCTTCTGGAGTCTGGACTAGTTAAATTTTCAGTCAGCTCTGGAAGGCCTGAAAGGATGACACCTTTCCTGGGGGAGGAAATTCCATCACTGGGGCGGGGGGTGTGTGTGTCAGCAGCCAAGAAAGCCCCCCCCCCCAAGCCCTTACCATCCTAACTTCAGGTAAAACAGGTTTCCTGCAAGAAAACCTCATCTGCAGGCCAAGACATGTGAAAATAGTCCCTTTGCATACTTGGTACCCAAGTCCATATGGAACTTTAAATGCCAAAACCAGGATTTCGAACTGCTCATGGAAATAAACTGGAAGACAGCAATCGTTAGTAAGTAGTGGCTCAACAGGATTATTTTGGCAGGTCCCACTCAGAACTTTTGCAACTGTGCTTTTGTCCTGGGTGAGGTTTCCAAAACCGTCTCCAAGGGCAGGCCTGCTTATTGGCTGTTACAGTAGTCCAGCAAGGATATTACTGAGACATATTACCAAGACTACGACCCGCTTTCTCCAGGAATAGCCACAGCTGGCAAACCAACTTAAGCTGGTAGAAAGCATCCCTCACAATGTCTCTCCCACCTGTCTGCCCAAAGACCATATGGCATTTCAGGACTTTCAAGGTTCTTATTTATTTATTTAGACTTATATCCCACCCTACCCCATGAGTGGGCTCAGAGCAGTTACAACATATAAGAAACATAATAACATTAAAACACTATGAAATATGTACAAGAAATTTGAGGTGCACTCCCCGCCAGTGTTCCCTCTAAGCTGTGGAGTCTTGTGAAAAGAAATTCTACTTTGTGAGCTACTGGCATTAAAGTTGTGAGCGAGTGATTTGGGTACTGCATAAATTAGTTTGCTCTTCCTGAGTGAAGACAAAAATGTGTGAGCTGGAGGCTAAAAAACTGAGTTAGCTCACACTAACTCAGCTTAGGTGGAACCCTGCTCCCCACCCCCGTCTCTGGATCTGGATCAGGGCCTTGGAGTTGTGCCGTGATGTGTGAACTGACTTCCTTTTGTGTTCTTTTTAGCTCCGGCCACGGACACGTGTGACCTGGTTTGCCTCAATGGTGGCAGCTGCTTCCTAAACGCCCGCAAGCAGCCCAAGTGCCGGTGCCAGCCACGCTACAACGGGGACAAATGCCAGTTTGACCAGTGCTCGAACTACTGTCAGAATGGGGGCACTTGTGCTGCTTCCCTGTCTGGTGAGTGGAGCGATGCGGAAAGACGGGTGAACCTGGGTAGGATGCGGAGGAGTGAGGCGCGTACGTGGCTTGGAAAGACCCCTCACCCTAGAAAGAGAAGTTTAGCATTCAGCCTCAGTCCTTACTGGTGAACCTCAGCAAGGTTGTGCTGATCCGTTTTTGTTTCAAAGCTTTTCAACACAAAACCCATAATGTTTGTGTCCTCAGATTCCGACAGATGTCAGCTGAGTTCAGGACTAACAACTGATCTTGGGGGGGGGGGGACCCGAAACACCACCTGGGTACCAGAACTGAATCCCTTCAGGGATTTTTTTTCTGGTGGAACACGCCGGAATGGCGTTCTGGAACCTCTTTGACAATTGTTTTTAAAAAATGTTTAAAAGTTCATGCGTTTTCTGTATACAGATTGAAAACTTCATTTCCCTCTTGAGAGTACCAGCACCTCTGTAAAAAAAAAAGAAGCCTTGAATTCCTTTTCACCCAAATTCCCTTACAGACTTCCACCGCCCAGAGTCAGATCTTCACCTATTTGCTATTTGTACCTCTAATGTACATGGAAGGTGGTGACCAGAAAACGATTGGCCAGTTCCAAGGAGGAACTATATCTATTGGATACCACTTTTCCTCAAAGGCCTTGTTTTTCCTGCCATGTGGCACCTTGGTGGCCAAGGAGGACTGAATGTGCCACCGACTTCTGTATGAAACGAAACCGCTCCTGTTGGCTCCGCCCTGCTCACCTAACCACCTCCGTTCTCTCCCCGCCTACCACAGGGATGCCAACTTGCCGCTGCCCCAACGGCTACACCGGCTCCCAGTGCAACAAGCAGTTGTGCACAGACTACTGCCTCAACAACGGCACCTGCTCCGTCAACCAGGGCAACCAGCCCAACTGCCGCTGCCCAGTTGAGTTCATCGGCGACAAGTGCCAATACCGTAAGTGCCCGTCCGCGCTGGAGCCTGCAGGGGCTGGAAGATTATCCGGTGGGGTTTCACCTTTGCGCCAGCATTCAATTCCAGCCGCAGCAGGGAGACTAACAAGGAAGCATTTGACCAGCAGTTGGTCTGAGTGGGTCACGTGACAATCCCTGGCCAATTATAAAAGTTTCCAGACCAAAGCCGCTCATGGTCCGAGCAACCTGTGGAAGAGGCCCTGGCTCAGTGGCAGAGCCTCTGCTTGGCGTGCAGAAGGTCCCTGGTTTAGTCCCCGGCATCTCCAGTTAAAGAGTCTGGCAGGAGGTGATGTGAAAGACCTCTGCTGGAGACCCTGGAGAGGTGCTGCAGTCTGGGTTGAGACCGTACCGACTGTGATGGACCAAGGCTCTGATTCAAGTCTAAGGCAGCTTCCATGTGTATTCCCTTTTCTGTTGCTGTCTCCAGACCTGTTGCCTCTTTTGGCCTCGCCTGCCTTCATCTCGATCCCACCCTGTGCTTTGCTGGAGCCAGCTCTGACCAAGTAGACATACAGCCCTCGTCCCAAATCCCTGTCTCCCCCTTTCTCCAGAGCAGGAGCGCTGAGCACGTGCATGGCTCGTCAGCTGGATGGTCGCTTAGCACCTTCCGATCTGATGAAGGGAGTTTTGACTCTTGGAAGCTCAGAACCCGAAAATCGTGTTGGTCTCTCAGGTGCTACTGGACTAGAATCTGTCTGTCCTGCTGCAGACTAGCGATTTTTTTGTTGTTGTTATTGGAATTGCGTGCAGTGTTCCCATAATAACTTTACGTACATTGAATACCAAATTTGAGGGGGACAGTGGTTGGATCCAAGAGAACTAGCTGTGAGAACCTCCCCATTCAGAGGCAGCCAGGAGGCAAACATCAAGGAAAGGCCTCGGCCTCCGTGCCCTGCTGTTGGCCCTCCAGAGGAACTGGTTGGCCGCTGTGTAAGACAGGATGCTGGAGTAGACAGACCATGGGGGTCTGGTCCAGCAGGGCTCTTCTGATGTTCTCAGGAGATGCTTGGGGCCATTGGGATCGAGTGTCGCTGGAGAGAGGTTCTTGGCTAGAGCTGTGCCTCCTGTCGAGTCCTTGCTCCTCACCCCGTGCCGCGCCCTCTCCCCTGCTCTCCAGGCCAGTGCTTTAACTACTGTGAGAACAACGGCATCTGCCAGCTGACCATCTCCGGAACCCGTCAGTGTCGCTGCCTGCCGAATTACTACGGGGACCGCTGCCAGCACAACAAGTGTGACCGCTGTCTGAAGGGCAACTGCTCCATCAACAAGCAGAGCGGCAACGTCACCTGCACGTAGGTGCCCAAGCCACTGGCATCGGGGCCGGGCAGGCGCTGAACGGGTGGATAGATCAGGGGTGCTTTGGGTTTCTTGAGCCAGGTGGACATTGGGGAGGGACAACCCATGATGTGGCAAGGGGGGGGGGACTGGTCAGCAACTGGGGAGTAAAAGATATAGACACTTCAGAGGAAGAAGAAAAAGAGGTTGGATTGATACCCCACCCTCCACTACCCGAAGGAGTCTCAGAGCGGCTTACAATCTCCTTTCCCTTCCCCCCCCCCACAACAGACACCCTGTGAGCAATGCTCCCTCTAAGCTGTGGAGTCTTGTGAGCAAAAATTCTACGTTGTGAGCTCCTGGCATTAAAGTCGTGAGCGAGCGATTTGGCTGCTGCATAAATTAGTTTGCTCGGGAGCCCTCCTTCCTGAGCTAAGACAGAAATGTGTGAGCCGGAGGCTAAAAAACTGTGAGCTAGCTCACACTAACTCAGCTTAGAGGGAACACTGCCTGTCAGGTAGGTGGGACTGAGAGAGCTCTTTTGAGGACTGCTCTTGAGAGAACAGCTCTGAGAGAACTTGTGACTGCGCAGAAACCCTCCTGGTTTAAAAGCCCCGCCTAGCCCCGCCTACTTGATGGACACCAGGAAAGGTGTTGGCAGGCACCACAGTGCCCATGGGCAGCACGTTGGGGATCCCTGCTCTGTCAGATCCATCCCTGGCTGTTAAACTGCAGGGTCTCTCTGGGTCAGTTCCTGTCGCTGGGGTTTTAGGGACCAGGATAGGGGCTGAGGAGCATAACCAAAAAAAAAACAAAGAAGGAGGCACCCAGTGAGACAATTCAAGGGTGGGGCTGAAGGGGAAGCATAATTTCAGAGCAGTGACTTGCCGTAGCGTGTGGGCTTGGAGGTACCAGGCTGCAAAGGGCAGGGGGTGACCTGTGTACCACTCTGACCGCCTCTCCCTCCAACACGTCCAGGTGCCCAGATGGCAGGATAGCGCCCAGCTGCCTGACCTGCGACAACTACTGTCAAAACGGGGGCACGTGCACCATGAATCCTGAAACCTCGATGCCAAAATGCCAGTAAGTTGGGAAGCTCCTTGGGGGCGGGGGGGGGAGGTAAGCCCACCTGCTCAGAATCGGAGCGGACAAACTCCACCTCCCTTCTTGCTTCTTGACCCACCAGTTCGCATTCCCCCCCCCCAATCCCTGTCTGCCTCCCGTCGAAGCAGACCAGTTCCCTGCTCCTGCCGTTCTCTCACAAGCCCAGCTTTCCCCTTGCACGGCAAAGTTTTCCCACTTCACCAACCACGTGACCCGCATGATGTTCCCCAGTCCTGTTCCCTTTCGACCATCCCAGGACCCCGCCAGCCCCCCCCCCCCGTAGACTCCAGCACTGCAGTTTCTTCCTCCCCTGTATGATGGCTCCCAGGAATCCAATGCATTTCCCCGCCCGTCATCCATGGCTGAATGCGAGCAGCTGGCTGACCTTCCTGTCACTCCCAGCTGCAGTAGTGTGATCCCCGATCTTGTTGAACTTGTAGGCACACCTGAAATTTTGAACGCAGGTGGAGGGCACCACCACAGAGTGCCTGCCGTGGGGCGCATGGGACCGACCACAAAATGCCTGCCACGGGGGCTGTACCCAGTTTCAACATTTTGCGAGGGTTCACAAAATACGTTAAGAGCCTCCAAGCCAAGCATCTTCCCATCATGGAGGCAACTGTTTTCAAAGGGTTTCTCCCTGCAGATTCAAAGGGGATGGCTCCTGGGCTCTTCTGAAGTCCCTCCTCTTCCACTGAGATGGAGGATAGACTGGATAGCCCCTTTGCTTTGACCAGGAGAGACTTTGGGAAAGGAGCAAGTGGGCACCAAAGAAACATATCGGCAGGTCCCCTGGCGCCCCCGGGCACCATGTTGGGGATTCCACCCCACCCCCCCCAATTCATTCCCGAGCTGTCTTCTCAGCCTGTTCCCCAACCGGCGGGAGTCTTCCCAGGTTTATCCCACAGCCACACCGCCCTCCGACACGCCTTCTGTCTCATTTCTCATTCTGCAGGTGCTCGGCAGAAATGACAGGGGACCAGTGCGAGACGTCTGTGGACAGTGAGCAGCAGAGCAACCGTATGTTGAATGGGGGAAAACAAAGAGATTGTAGGGATCGATAGGAGGGCATGTGTGCGTGTGTGTGGGCCAACGGCAGGGTGGGTATGGAATGCCCACATGGCCCTGGGGTCGCCACGAATCAGTCACAACTCGACTGCACACAGTTATTATAATTATTTCTTCCCCATGCAAGTGAACACCCCTCACTTTAATAGGAAACAATTATTTGGGTATGGAGGGTGGGACAAACTGTCACTTCTTAGATACTTGTGACTATAAGGACTCGTTCTGTGGAAATAAAAGGGCAGGGTTTGCCTATCTCCTTAGAGATCTAGACTCTCTGCTCCGTCTGAAGGCCAGGTGGGAAGTTGGCGGTACCTCCCCGACATGCAGTCACCAGCAGCTCCTTTCCCTTTTCAGGAACGGTCTCCATCGTCATCCCGATCCTCCTCCTGCTGCTCGTGATCTTGGTGGCCGGAGCTGTGGTCTGGTACAAGAAGCGGATTAAAGGGTAAGGAGGCACTCAGAAAGTGATGGTGGGCGGGCGGTTGCACGGGCGTGTGTGTGTATCCGTCGCAGTATGGGCAGGGTGGCTCTCAGGGTCACTGTTGTCTAACCCAGACACTCACACATGTCCCCATTCCCAGTGCACTGCCCCACCCCACATCTGGTGATGTAAAGGTCTATTGATGGGGGTGAGTCTTGGATTGTGTCTGCACTGATCATGAGTTTACTGGCAGTGAATCACTTTCACCGTGTGCTGTTTAGGGAAGATGGCCCCGTCTGTCCCATTTCATCAGCGTTTTTCTCCTGCACCTTTTTTCACTTCCATGTACATACACAAATACCCTGACCTGGGTGACCCAGGCTAGTCCGATCTTCACCACTCCTGCACCACTGTTCCCTCTAAGCTGAGTTAGTGTGAGCTAGCTCACAGTTTTTTAGCCCCCGGCTCACACATTTTTGACTTAGCTCAGGAAGGGTGACTCGAAAGCAAATTAATTTATGCAGTAGCCAAATCGCCTGCTCACGACTTTAATGCCAGGAGCTCACAAAGTAGAATTTTTGCTCACAAGACTCCACAGCTTAGAGGGAGCATTTTTCCACACTGTCATTATTGTCACTCCTTCGTCCCTGTTGCTTTGGGTCCCCCCCCCATCCCCTTTTCCACATGTGCTTTGCTTTCTCTGGGACTACTAGAGAGAGCGCAAAACACATTGGGCGGGGGGGGGGGGACAACGAGTGACAAAAATGACAGTGCGGAAGTGGCCTTTGTCAGATCTCGGAAGCTAAACCAGGTCAGCCCTGACTAGTACTTGGACGGGAGACCTCCAAGGAAGCCCAGGGTCATGACACAGAGGCAGGCCATGGCCAACCACCTCCGAACATCTCTTGCCTTGGAAACCCTACAGGGTGGCCATAAGTTGGCTGCGACCGGACTGCACTTTGCAAAGGGAGTACGGCGCTCCCCAGCCTCCTCTGTTCCACTGTAAAATAAATACAAGGATAAGCATCTATCCCAGGGGAGCTGGTATATTGGAGAGAAAGGTGCTTCAAAGGCCCCATCTGCCCATTCTGCGGCTACTGCCCCCTACCCCCTCCCCGGCCCGCTATGTTCCCCGGGCGGGTCAGGGAGGGCTCTTTGCTGAAGAGAATCATCGGGCACGGAAGGGATTCGACACCCCTTCTCCCCTGCAGTTTTCTCTTGGAAAGTGCCCCAGCCCTCCCTTTGTGTTATCTTGATGAACATGGTTGTGGGAACATGCCTGCCCACGTGAAATAACAAATAAGTACCTTCCTCTTCAATCCCCATAGTCTGTACGATCACACAGCAAGGTTGCACACTATTGTCTGTCCAACAAGTTTTCACCTTCCCTGTTTCCCCCCCCCCATCCCCAGGGCCAAGGGCTTCCAACACCAGCGCATGACCAATGGTGCCATGAACGTGGAGATCGGCAACCCCACCTACAAGATGTACGAGGGGGACCCCGACGCCGATGACGTGGGGGAGCTGCTAGATGCCGACTTTGCCCTGGACCCCGACAAGGTTTGGAAGGGGGAGTGGGGGAGGCGGGCTGATACGAAAAAGGCCGCCCGAGGGTCTCTTGGGCTCCAGGAGGGTGGGGGAGGCGAGAGGAGCCCGCAAGAGTGCCTGAGAAGAATCTGAAGATCAAGGGCAACAGTCTGCATACAGCAGAGGGAAGAAGAGACTCAAGGAAGCAGAGCCCAAGAGAGGCTACGGGAGGACCAGAGAGTGCTGGGACACCCGCCCCCCCTGCCCCCTTCATTGTGCCCTGGTGCCCCACGGTTGACTGGGCTGATGTCATTAGTCTATTGTACATCTCTCTCTATCCCAAATATTCGGGCATCCCAAATCTTTTTGCTTCTTCCTGGCTGCTAAAAGCAATCCTGCAGTGCAGTCCTAAACGGTTACCCCCCCCCCCCTTTCTGTGTCCATTGAATCCTATGGGCTTAGAAGGGTGTGTCTCTCTTTAGGATTGCACTAAGGATCAAGACACCATGAATCACTACCGTCTATAAAGCAGCGGGAGTTAATAGCAGAGGGGTGAACTACCACCGGTAGCCTTTATTCTTTATTTAATTAATTCTTAGCCCATTCTCCCAAGGACCATCTCGGAGCGGGTAACATCAGTTTATAAGTGTACAATTAAAATTTCCAATATCGAATAATTCAGTCGTCGCTAAAGTATATTAAAATACATACAATACAAAATAATCAGTTATATAAAATCAAGATGGCATAAACCCACTAAAGAAGGGGAGTGGGGGGAGGCCTATCCGTTCGGTCTTACCAATTGAGACCCCGGTACTGCCTTCAACTGTAGGCCTGGTGGAACAATTCAGTTTCGCAGGCCCTGCAGAGTTGCCCTGATCTCTCCTGGAAGAGGGTTCCACCAGGCCGGGGCCAAGGCTGAAAAAGCCTCAGCCCTGGTTGAGGACAGATGGACATCCATGTACGTGTGGTGCAGCACACAACCAACGCTCTGTGGGGACCTGTGGTCATGGAGGCTCTGGCGCCCACCTTTACAGGAAACAAATGATCATCTGAGTCTGTCCTCTGGATGAAAGTTAACAACACCAGTTGTACGCTTCCAGTATTGTGAGCACAATCCAAAAACAAGTATGCATACAAGCGTCGGAAAAGACACACTGAGACGATTTTCTGAATTTCTGTTGGGCAAAGGGAACGAGGCAGCATGTAAGCCTGGTAGGGACCCAGCCAGTTTGGCCTGCATAGGTAAGTCCTCCGCTCTGACTGTGCCTAGATGGTTGTCGGAGTCCTGGCACAGATCCTGGAGCTCTGATACCGTGTCAGCAACATCCTCAGACCCACCTGAAAGGGAGGACTGGCAGATTCTCCCCCGAACAAAGCTAATCACATGCTAGCTTCAGCTGAATAGTGCCGGGGAGGTAATGCCTAGGACGGTGGTGGGTGGCCTCCAGGCTCGGAGAGAGGGTACAAGCGCATGAAGACAGGATTAGAGATGTAAAATTTCTGGAAATTTTGAAGCTCAGAAAAAAACCCACTTTTTTCGGGGGGAAACAGAAATTTTCAGAAAAATTGTAAAAAATGCTTTAGCAACATAAAATATGACTATGGACATTTTTACTTGGCATGAAATTATCACAACTAGCATATTAAAAATATAGTGTATCCAAACAATTATTACAAACAGAATACCCACCCACATGCAAAAACAAAACTGAAACCTTTTTATTGTCTTCTGACAATAGCACCTCCTAAAGGAAGAAATGCATCTTGTTCTTGCATTGGAGAGTTCAGTTTGTAACCTAGGACTTCATGTTAAAATAAAATGTTCCATAATCAATTTTTTTCTTTTCTTTTCTTTTTTCAATTTTTCCAATTTTTCAGAAAAAAACAAAAAAGGCTTCAGGAAAAAAACGGAAAAAACCCGTTTTTTTTCTGAATTTTTCCGGTTTTTTTTCCGGGCCTTCACATCTCTAGACAGGACCTCCGTGTAAAACCTGCTCCGCTCTCTTGGCCTTCGGTCTCTCACGTCCTCTCTCTTTCTCTCTCTCTCTCTCCCCTCTAGCCCACAAACTTCACAAACCCGGTGTACGCCACACTCTACATGGGTGCCCACAACAGCCGCAACTCACTAGCCAGCACGGACGAAAAGCGGGAGCTGCTGTCCAGAGGGGCGGAGGACGACCTCGGCAACCCCAGGGGGGGGGGGGGGGGGGGGGGAGAGGCCGCCGGCCCAGACAGAGACCTGGGTGAAAAGAGACAGGATGGGTTGGGGAGGGCGGAGGGGGGGAGCAAGAGATACTGTATAAATGTACAAATGAAGGATTATTACTTTTATATGTGAGCAGTATTATTACCTGTATATTCCCTTTCATCTACCAGCCGCTGAATCTCTGTCACCAGACTCCGGGGTGGCCGGAGTTAAAGGCAACTTTGGGAGGTGGAGGGGAAACCACGAGGAAAAAAAAAAAAACCCTCGGTTTGGGTTGAAGGGCTTCATAACCTTAACCTGGCTGCTCCTTTTTTTCTCTCCCCCCCCCTCACTGCACAAGTCAGTCAGTCCACCTTTGCTTCCTTTGCAATTTCAGTTGCTGTGCTTTTTCAAACGCGTACTACATTTCAGACCCTTCTGGGTGGGGGGGCAGCAATGAACCAACAGGAGCTGCCCTTGGTCAAACTCTCTTTGGCAGGAAGGTGACGGAAGGGGTGTCAGGGAAGGTTATCAGATCCAGGAGGCAAATCTGCTGCTTCTCTCTCCTGCGTGGGGGAAAAGGAGATTGTTTGGACCGCATGTCATCCCAGTCTGAATCCAGATTTAGTTCAACTCAAGCCACACTGCGGTGCAGAGACAGTCAACGATTCTAGCTTTTTGATGTAGCGGGGACCAATAGTGTTGTCTGTTCGTTCATTCGTTCCATTACAGTCTTCATGGGAAGCAACGTGAAAAGCTCAGTTCCTTTTCCGTTCCGATCCAGCTGCATTGAACTCACGGGATGAGGAAAGAGACTTGAGATCGGGAGGGCCGCCGCCGCCCCCTCCCCAAGCAATTTGACTAGTCTTGTCAAATCCCTTTAGTCTTCCCTGGAGATTCCTTAGCAGTTCTGCCTAAGGAGGGATCCCCAATCCCCCTCTCAAGTTTCGCTTTGAGGGGTGGAAAGCCAGTTACAGCCTACAGACGTCTTGTCATCTTTTATCAAAAGACTTCTGGAATTCCTCAAGATGGTTGCAAGTCCACTTTCAGTTTTTGCTTGAGGGGAAAATATTGCTGGCCGCTCTAGGCCTTGAACAGAACTGGCAAGCATCTCCCTAGCACAGAGCTTAGGCCAACCTAGCAACTGCAAGGAGCTTAGTTTGAACTTAGCACATGCCTCTGTTCTTGAAAAAGGCCTTTAGCATGTCCCTCCGTTATTTCCATGACAATTTTGCAGACCTTCGAAGGAGCACAGTGGACCACTGGAGGTCTGTAGGCCACCAATGAATAATCACTGCAGTTGATGTTCCGTCTGCAGCATCCCATCTGTGGCACACTGGCTTCTTCCATCAGTCTTAAGCCCCTCTCATCTATAACAGCCTTTTCTGTCACAGCCACCTTCCGGTGACATCTTCTCCTTGCTACGCCTTAACCTTTTCTGACGAACAAGATTCCAGGCTAGTAACAGCCTACCAGTCACCCCTTTCCTCCCCTCCTGTCTGGTGTGTCGCTTCTCTGGATCTGATAAGTATGCCGAGGCCTCCAAAACACGTCCCACGGGAATCAGATCACTCCGTGTGGAGGCGGAGATGGGAGGACCCGTTCAGGTCTCACGCCTGCCAACGCCTCCAAGCCGCAACAGATCCGCTGGGCCGATTCCTACTGATCCAAATGGCAGAGCGGGTGGATCAATCTGGATCAGCAAGTACAGACTGTTGCATTAAAACCCCACCCCCAAAAATTCAACTACGGGGGAAGCTCTCGTTCATGTGCCGCAGGACTTCGTCAGAGTTTCCAGATTCCCCTTCCTGCTAAATGTATTGCTGAAAATATTTTATTTCCAAGAGTTTTTATTATTTTTTTTAGGGGCGGGGGGGGGGATATATTTTGATCATAGCTCGCTTGATTTTAGCGCCTGCGTCCTAAATTTTAAAACTTGAGTTTTATAACAGTCCTTCCTCCCCTCCACCCCCTTCTGACCTCCCTCTCTTGCTATAACTTCGGTCATCCTTGTTCATGTTCGTTTGGTTTTTTTTTTCCTCCTGGAAAGAGGTTCAACGTTGTTTCTATTTTCGTTTCTCTCCAACATGCTTTTTTTAAAAATGAAAACAGATCAAAAATAAATAAATAAAATGAATTAGCTTTTATAGTAGAAATTACACGCATGTGTGGGGGGGGAGGGAAGGAGATCTCCTCAGCCTTTTTTTGTGGGAGGGGGGGAAACAAATGTTTTAATAATTTTTGCCGGATTACTTTACAACTAAAAACAAAAAATCAAAAAAATAAAAACAAAAACACAGATATTGTTATAAATAAAATTTTTAAAAACTAAACGTTTGCTCGAGTCGCCGCTTCTTTGAGTAGGGATTTGTTCACCAGGGGTTTTGCGACAGGAGCCAGAAAGGATGGATGAGCCATTCTGAGATATTCAAGCTGAACAGCCGACTACCCTTCTCTGTCAGTTTCTGTCCCGCCCCTCAGTCCTTCCTTGCCCTGAGTGGGATGGCCCAGGCAGGCTAGCCCAGTCTTATAAGATCTCGGAAGTGGAGGAGGTTCGAGTCTGGTGAGTACTTGGATGGGAGACCACCAAGGAAGTCCAAGGCTGCTACGCAGAGGCAGGCGATGGCAAAGCACCTGTGAACATCTCTTGCCTTGAAAGCCCTAAGATGGGGGTGTCAAACATAAGGCCCGGGGGCCGGAACCGGCCCATCCAGGGCTCTTATTTGGCCCGCGAGCAACTAGTGCAAGGGAGGGAACAGGAGACTGCTGAGGGGGGAGTGGGCGGAGCCACTCCGATTGTGGCTTCGGCATGGTGGAACAACCTCATCTGCAGCAGTCAAGCAGCGTGGGAGCGTCTGCCCAGTGCTGCACCGCTGGGTCTCCAGTCTACCCATGTGGGTTTTTCTTTGCAGCCCAGGGGGCCTTGCAGTGAGGATACACCAACTCGGAGCTTACCAGCTGCTGCCCTTTATACAGTTCATATCTCCGGTACCTGGAATTACGTTTTGTGGCATGCGTGGCTTGGCCCGACAAAGTGACATTTATGTCAGATCCGGCCCTCGTAACAAATGAGTTCAACACCTCTGTCCTACGAGGTCACCATAAGTTGGCTGTGACTTGATGGCCCTTTCCATCACCACGTCGACCCAGAGGCCTCTGCCTGCGCAACTGATAAGGCCTCTTAACTGTCCATGTGGCGCAGTGTTTAGGGTGTCGGACTAGGATCCGAGAGACCCAGGTTCGAATCCCCACTCTGCCATGGAAGCTCGGTGGGTGACCGTGGGCCAGTCACTCTCAGTCTAGCCTACCTCACAGGGCTGGACGAGGAGGCCCAGGTTCGAATCCCCGCTCTACCGTGGAAGCTTCCTGCAGTTGGCCTTGAGTCTGCCTGAAATGCCCACTAACATACTACTGCTTAGCAGCTTGGGGAGTGGGAAGGTTTGGGTACGGGGGTATTTGTTTCGCAGAGATCTTTCAGGGAGGATCAGAGCTCAGTGGTAGAGTATGTGTTGGGTACGCAGGAGATCCCAGGTTTATTCCCTGACATCTCCAGTTAAAAGGATCAGGTAGTAGATAATGTGAAAGGCCTCTTCTTGAGACCCTTGGGGGCAGCTGCCAGTCAGAGTACCCAATACTGACCTTAGGGCCTGACTTAGGATAAGGCAGCATTGTCTGTGTTCCAGTGCTGAAGCTCTGCTGACGCATGTTATCTGTGAAAAGTTTCACAACTGCAGAAGGAATTAAATATTCCTGGAATGCACAAACACATGGATCTGCCTCTTACTGAACCAGACCCTTGGTCCATGAAGTTCAGTATTGTCTGCTCAGACTGGCAGCGGCTCTCCGGGGTCTCAGGCAGAGGTCTTTCACATCACCTACTATGACCTGATCCTTTTAAACTGGAGATGCCGGAGATTGAACCCGGGACCTTCTGTGTGAAAAGCAGAGGCTCTTCCCCAGAGCCACAGCCCCCTACCTCCCTGGGGTTCTGGATAGCTCAGGTGAAACTCCATATTGCCTCGTCTCACTGACTCCCTTCTGGCCTTGGTTCATCTCCTAAGACTACTTCACAAGGAGTTCTCAAAGGTATGAGCCA